GCAGATTTAAATTGCAGCCATTAATTTCTTTGCAACCAGCTTCTTTACAGAGTTGATACATCTGACTTAAATGTTTAACGTTTTCAATAGCATGATCCTGTTTCAGCAACTCTGTCTTTAGGGAGGAACCGATGATATCTTTATATCCAATCAATTTTGTTCCAACTTCCAATGTGTTCACCCATATTGTGTTTTTCAGATGTAGATTAACCTATGTATTTAATCTTGTATTATATTCATTTTGCATAACTTATAAAACACATAAAGAGAATAACTTACCGTTCCAATTACATAAGACCTTTCATCGACATTGTTTTGGAACCACTCATACACAGCGTCAAATGCACAACGATTCCAATTATACTCGTCATCATGAGGAACTATGCCAACTACAAATACTTCCATTATTTGTGTTGGATATTTTACAAATTCTTCTGGCAAGTGTAATAATCTATATGCCTAAAATGGAAACGTATTAAATACATATACAGTATTTCTTTTAACTATATTTCTACATATTATACTTGATGACGAACATTCAATCTTGTCAAAATTACTCCATTATCCATGCACCTCACATCTACAAACTTTGGCTTATCTGTGTCGTTTTCTCTCTGAATATTCACAACTTGTACTCTCTTGAAACTATCTATTGGTTCTTCTAAACCACATATACACCCTACATCTATTACTTCGCATTTTCTCCTAGATATGGAATAAGCAACAAATATAAATGAAAGAACATAGGAAACATTGACATTTTTATTTTAAATATCTATGTATACCTGTTCTCTACATGCGAATAAATCTCTTGAATTTTTATAGCAATTTGCATATATTCTACATTAGAGATTTCTATTTCTTCCAATGTATCAGATTTAATGTACGATATAATTCTTGCAGAGAAGTGTGTAACATCGTGTATATTCAGTACTCTAAATTTCACTTTGTCATTTCTAAAATAAAAAGAATGGTCTGAATTAAAATTTTCTACTGAACTTACAAAACAACTTACATTCCAATATCGATAATTGGTGCGTCATTTTTTAAAATGATTGTATGTCTCAATCCACAAGAATGCTTCTCATGACAGAAACCACGCGACTTTATATTAGTACAAATAGGATAATTTTCTTTCCTTTTGTCCAAAGTTGCTGTTATATGCTAAAAAATATTAAAATGTGATATCAAATTAATTCAATATTTTTTACATTATATTCGCAGATGTATGAGTAAGGTAATTCTGATATTATTTTTCATAAATACCTCAATATTTGTTAACATATTTGGTGGTATTAAAACATTCATTCTTTGCATTAACTTTATTATACTTAAAAATTGTTTGTCACTGTTTTCATCTGCCATAACAGTTACTTCGCAGTTAGGTTTTTCCTGAAAATATTTATGTTAGTGATTTATCATTAAATTTTGCACGTCTTGTTATTACAAAGCAGTATACCAATTTTAAACTTTCGTAGAGCGTCGAATGCCGAAAATTGAATTGAGTCTTAAAGCGCAGAAAGACCGAATAATGTATTAACCACATTACATTTGTAATATTCATGTCTGCTAATACTTCGTCTGTGCATATTAAAGTTGAATAGGAACCAGTTACACAAGCATCCCAACATTGTTTGATACCTACAGTGGGAAGAAGAATTTCAAATATAATTTAATAATAATGATAATATTATACAAATTTATATTTTCGTACCTTGTATGTGCAACATATTCATGTCTTCATGAGCTAAAAGAGTGTCTTTATATTGTCTTAAAAATTTGTGCAATTCTTTAGCCTCGTTGCTATTTACACAAACTATTATAGTTCTTACTTTCGTACACTTATCGCCTAATAAGTCTGTAGTAAAAAGATTTTTTCTTTATCACTATAATTCGATAGAAATACAATTATTTAAATGTTTTAATTAAATGAGTTTTACCTAAAATCTTTTTATTTTTAATTTTCGAATTCATTACGTACATCTTTGGAAGTATAGATTTATAAATAGCAGCTTCTATAAAAGATGCTATACATATGAATGGATTGTCCATTAAAATACGAGCAATTTGTTTTAGGCGTGGCGTCCAATTCTTAGCAGTTACTATAATTTGTAATATATTCTTACTTTTTAATTCTCTATTACAAATAACTTTATGTTTCTTAAACAATTTAATTATCTAAAAAATCACATTTTTATTTTAAAAGCGAAGATTATACTTTTATCGGGAGAAACAAATGATTGAAAAACATGAAAATTTACGGAGTCAAAGTATTTGTCCAAAATAGTGTCACCATCATCCAAAATTAAGTATTGAAGATTTTCAAAATTCAATAACTTTTTGTTTTCATCCATGAAACGTGATAAAAATCTTGGCGTAGATATTAAAATCTGGCATCCATTATACATTTCAACCTGAATTCATCGCTTAAATGTACTTTTGTTTACATTGAAAAATGTTATTTAGAAAATTTACCTACCACTAATGTAGTTCTTGATTTACCATTAATTGCCGCAACACATCTTATATTTCTATAGCTTTCTAAAAATGTTGTACACATTTCATAAACTTCTAATACTGCAGCAGAGGAAGCACACAATATCAATGCAGATGGACTCACTCCTTTAGAAAGCTATTTGAAAGTATGAATTATTTAATAAATAAAAATCAGTGTAATTTTTAATATTAATGTAAAGCTATTATTGCAAATATAATATTATTACGTTTGAATTTTTAGCCAGGAGACCACAGATAGTAAATCCATAGCCAAACGTTTTACCAGATTTTTCTGTTCCAATTGCTATTACATCTAAACCTTTTTTTATAGCAGGACAAATATATGATTGAATTCTTGTTAGTCCAGACGATTGTACCATTGAATTCCAAGCCTTGAAAATATGATGTATATTGATTACTCTAAAACTAACAGTATTATTACTTATTTGTACCTTGTGTATTTCAGATGGAAATCTTAGATCTGAAATAACGTTCAAACATTCATATTTAACTTGTCCATAGATTAATACTTTTTCCATCTCTCTTTCTTTTACTCCAAGTCTCTTGTTTACAAATCTGTTTCAAAATAAGATATAGTAAGCAACACTCAAAAATAGAATGTTAATTGAATAAGTTACTGCTTCTATATTTGAACAAACCTTTTTTTCTGTTTATGAGATTCACCATTACTTTTACAATTATTTGGAACATTCGCATAAAATATAGTTTCACCATTAATCACTTGTTTATGTGATTCTTCACAGTTTTTAGAATTTTTTATGAATGTCAGCAATTCTGTATAGATATCAAACATTATACATTGTGAAGACAAAGCATAAATATAGTAAAGGAACAAAGTAATGGAGAAAAACTTATTACTTCACCTTTTTGTAAATAAATGGCATAATTATTGACAACTAAAGCCTCGCTTAAACTTATTATGGTGTCCTCTATATTCAGATAAAATTCACCATATTGTTTGCCATGTTGATCAGATGCTACATGATCAAAATAAATTGTGGTAGATGCAGCTATTAATTCTTTTGCAAACTGAACTGCTTTTGTACTCCATTCGTCTAAAACTCTTTGGATATGTACAAAATTAACAGAATTGGTTCAATAAATGAACAAAATAATGTTAATTAATAATGCAAAGTTAATCATACAGAACTGAAGTTTCTTCTTCTATTATTGAATCATTGTTTATAGCAGTAGGTAAAACATTGTATAAACCCACTGTATAACTTAAATATCCTTCCAAACTTAAATCAGTTGAACATAAGACAAAATCTTCTCTGTGTAATTCTACAGAAGTGCCATAATCGGGTAGGAAAATATTATATTTATCCCCCAAATTATGTATGGTATTAGAAATAATCCCTCTACAAAACCAGGAAGGCAGATTAATATCTTTTTCTAAATTGTCATATGCTACAATTGCCTACAAAAAGAAAGTTTCATAATAAACATAAATATATCCACAACATTAAGAAATTTATAAGATCTTTAACATTTAAGTTTATATGGCTCTTTAGCATTTTCCTTACATCTCCTATTTTTGGTTCTATATGCTTATCCACATTAAACATTTTTCTTTTTGCTAATAATAATTTATTATTAATAAAATTTAATTTCTTTCCACGGTCTTTAATCTCACATATTCTTACAATATATGGTGTTAGAATATTTGTTACTGTAATTGCTACTGCTGTGATAGGTAAGATATTATCTGTAAGCAATAAAATGCCATGAAATTCTATGTAAACAAATAAATTTACCATACAATTTGTATACAATACACAGCTAAACATAGAATAAGGTTTAAGACAATAAGTTAACCTTCATAATCAAAATCTGCATTCTTCATTTTGCCGGCTTAATTATAATCTTACTGCTGTTAAAAAAAAGTATGTTTTCTTATTCTTTTTATCTCATTTCGATTTATTAAAAACGTTTAATAACATCCTTCACTCCAGTGCTACTTCTGATAGTCAATATTTGTTTTCAAACCTAATCCAGACCTAAGCAATCACGATTGATCAGAACAGAAAGAAACACCAAACAACTTGAGATTTGTTGAGCTTAACCAGACATTTTGTAACGATTTAAGTGTGCACTTATATAATTTACAGTGTTTATTACTACCATTCTGTTGTTAAACAATTCAAAGCAATCAAAAACATATTCGAAGTATAAATACATCAACTTTTAACAAATAATTGTATACAATTTTAAGGTTATATTTTCTTTATACCTATCACAGTGGCTTTTGTTTTTATTCTTAATGGAATATTTGTTGACAATTATTACATTCTTTAAGTATTCAAACTTGTTATTGTAAAAATATGCTGGGACATATATGTCTCGCTTGTAAGAAATCGTAAAACATGTATGTGTCCCAGTAGCTGTGAAAGGGTTAAGTGATTTAATCTTTTAATTGTATTTTTACTTGTAAATATCTGTAATATAAAACTAAATTAATCGATTGTCTAATTCTTGAATAGATGAATACTATGTTGCGAGTTGCACGTATTCTGAATATATCCAACAAACGTTGTTTAAGTACCAATAAATTGCCTCCTGAAATTGTTGTGCCAATAAATAAAGAGATGATTGTCTGTTGGCATCCGCAACAAGATTTTCCTTATGAATATTCATTACCATTACCAGAAAAACAACAAATGTCAAACTCTGTTTTATGTATTGGTGAAAAAGAAATTGCAGAAGTTTTTATCCATAAGAAGAAGGATGAGATCATTGAACAACTCGCAAAAATGACATATACTACAAAACATAGATGGTATCCTAGATGCAGAGACAAGAGAAGAAGACATACAGATGCAGAAAGACCATATCTGTAAACATGATGTGTATACCTAAATAACGTAGTTTAATAAAATAATTTTCAAATTAAAAACACATTGAATAGTTTTTGAACAAATTGTTGCTCTGTCATTTATTTATGTATTTTTATATTGCACTTATTTATTGGTCAATTATTAATATATTCGTTGTTCACCGATTTACATGTGGAGATTACAATAGTATTGATTAATCTAAAAGCTATCCTAAAACTATTAAGTATAACTACATCACAAAGATAAAAATAGAACAATTATTGCTGTAATACAAATATGAAGAGATCATAGTCATTTTATATATACAAATAGTACTTATGCTTATATGCACGAGCAATAAACATATTAATGCATATAATAAGTTCTGGTCACTGACTACAATATAGTTTAAATTTTACATATTATCAGGAAATATTTGTCTCTCTCCTTCATGTAGATAAATGTGCATTGCTCGATATAACAAGTATCTCCCAAAATTACATTTTTCTATTATGTTCCATGTTGCTGCTATTCCATAATAATCACCATGTTTGCAATTAGTTAATTTGTTTACTCCAAGAGCATCAATCATCGCAGCTTCGCGTGTATAAGCTTCTACTGGAATGGTATTTTGATAAATATGCAAGCAAATTACTCCATATCCTGCATTCCAAATGTTCAAAATACTTTGAATTTTTGTATTTTCAGACCTTCGATTTGAAACCCATGCATCGAATGCATCTTTAAGGTGAAAATATGGTCTATTCCGTGTACCCTTACCCACATAAAAAATAGAAGACAGGAATGTAGACCAGACTGCGGAATTTGTCATACTTTTTGCACGCGAGGGTAAATCTTTAGTTATACGTGGATCTAAGAGTAGATAATTAAAACAAGTCTTACTAATTCCTTCTCTCCATTTTCTAGAAGGATTTACTACAAAAAATTCTTTAAAAACGTTCTTTTCAGTAATTCTGTATTTTTCTAAGTAATTCACCCAGTCTCCATATATGAGAAAAGGATTCAAATCACATTTACTGTAACTCACTTTCGAAGGAGACCTAGAATGAATAGGTTTAGATGATAATTGATTACACGTCCTGCTTTTTAAATATGTAAGTCGCTTTAAATATAACTGCTTCGTTGTGTTGGTTATTGGTCCAGGATTATCACCTAGATCAATTAATTGTTTTCGTATTACTTCGTTTTCTATGGATACATCCGTAGTTACATTTAGCGATTGTGGCCCTGAGAAAATTGGTAAAATGTCATTTTGAAATCTACATATTACAATTAAATATCTTTTGTCTTACACAGTTTGTCGGCTGTATCGCAATCGTCTACAGGTTTGCTGCAAATAAATCAAAATAATAATACTTATCACTAATTACAATCAACATTAAAATGAAATTACGTAATTGGCCTGAATCTTTTACCAGCGTGGTAGTGTATAAATTCTACGTTCCAGGAAATTTATACCATCGTCCGGATACTCGTGTTTATACTCTTCTTGCACACTAGTGTATGACTGTGATTTGAAACTATCGAAGAAATAAAAAAATACAGTATAGTGTAGCCTACACTAAAACCCTAGGGTTCTGCGAGTACTCAATTTATTCGAGGAAACATATGAAATACAATTACCTTGAATAGCATGTACTAAAATATTCTTTACAACTATGTAGGCTATTATTGCTTTTTAATTCTTCCATAATTTCTTTTTGCAAAATATCATCTTCCTTTGAATCTTCCTTATTTTTTTCTATACAGTCTACATTCTCTAATTTTATATTTTCCAAATTGTTATTACATAAATTCGTTAAGTTTTCTTTTACCTCATATTTTTCAATGCCATTCTTATTTTCAATCAAATGTGAATTTGTTGGCGCATCGTCATCATATTTATTTTCGTGTAATTTTATTGCCACATGATTATTAAATTTATAATTCAATTTATATGGACGATTTTGATCTGGTGATAAGGAATTAGAAGAGTCAGGACTTGTGTTTTCTGATGACGCAAGTTCGTCATTTCTTTTAAATTTTCTTAATGAAGAATATTGTCTGTAAAATCGTTTTTTCCTTCTTGGAGTAGATCTTGCCATTTCTTTTCCGTAATTAAATTCTGATTGAAACGATTTAGTTCTTGTCATACAAGGTGTAACAGCTCTAAATTTTGATTCCTTGTTTATTATGTTTGGAGATAAATATCTCCCTTCTCTTTCTGACGATTTTTCAATTAAACAATTTGGTGATTTGCTTATAATAGAATCATTTGGATCATATGCAGGTATTAATGGAATTCTAGCGTTGTTTTGTTCAAAAATTTTACGTTTATATCTCGGAGTAAGAGTCCGTTTTCTCATTCTAGTTTTTAACGAAAAATTATCCTTCATATCATGAATCGTACTATTATCCGCGTTTAATATAGACAAGGGACTTGTATCATTTTGTTTGTATTGTACATGTTCATTGCTAATCTCTTGATCTTTAGAGCTGGATTTCAAGGAACTTGAGAGTTGATTAATAATTTCATTAAGTAGGCACTTTTCTTTATCCATTTCTTCGCGAATTCGAAGCTCTGCTAGATTTGTGTTAGATTGCTTGCGACTATGTAAATCGTTGTCATCGTTATTAAAAGAATATTCGTATCTGTTATCAGGCAATCTCTCTTCTTCATTTTTCTTAAGTTCGTTTTCATTTAATGTATCTTCATTAGCCATATCAGAAGTATGTAGCAAAGCATATTCTGCTATAACATCTCCGTTGTTAATTAGAAGTTTATCTAAACCAAACAATTTAAATAAAATATTAAACATAAAATAGGTACATTCATTTGATAAAACTTACCAAATGTCACTTTCTGCTTAGTTGCTTTATCTTCATTTCTAATATTTTCACAATATTTGCCCAATACCACGATTGCTTTGTAATATTTTCCATCGAATGCATAATGAAATGGACTACGTCCTTCGTCATCTAAGCACAGGGGATCTCCACCATTTGCTAAAAGCAATTCTAATACTGTCACTCTGCCCCAGGCTGCTGCTACATGAACTGGAGTCAGCCCATCTACTGACCTATGAAATTAAGTGTTAAAATATTTGATAAATAGCTTACACTTGAAAATCTTAATCATTATCAACCATGTAAAGTTTCATTATTACCTGACATTTGGGTTTCCACCATGGCGCAAAAACAATTTAGTTACTTCCTCTGCGAAAGCTTCAGAATCGTTACCTATTACTAAGTGAAATGGAGTTACTCCATGTGTAGGAATCAATGTATTAGGATCGGCTTCTTTATTCAAAAGTAAAGTTGTTACTTGCCTATCATAAAACAAGTTATTTATGTTTAACAGATACCACATAAATTAAAAACTATAGGGCTGTCTGGAAAGTCCATGCTGATTTTTAGTAGACGATACAGGTCTGAATATATCGGAATGGCTGAAAACAAATAGAATGTGTACATTCCTTAAGAGGTGGAGAGGTTGTGGAACAAAATGGTACATATATAATTCAATAAATATACATCAAAATTCAAATATGCCTTTGAATTTTTCTTAAAGATAGGCATGAACTTTCCGTACAACCCAATATAATCCCAAATTTCTTACTTAATATTATTATCCTCTAAGCCATCGCAAAGGGAAGAAGCTAGAAACAGGCATCCTTTTGATTTTTGAGCTGACATTGTGCTTTATAATAAAAGTGCTTCAAAATGTATTATTACTTCCACAGGTACTTTGAAAAAAACTTCTGTGAAGTACAATAAAATAGTAACTCATCTGTGATCATTACATAAAATAATGGAGTGGATATGTTTTAAAAATAAAATAGGAAGAATACAAGTAGATATTTTATCAAAAATATATTCTCCCTTTGCAAAATTATAAAATTAAATATTTTCAGCACCTTATCCGTTGTTATTTACCATTGTTTATTATCACATGTAGGTACTTATTGTCAGTTGAACTTAAATATAGAACGCGTGTAAACAAACTACATGTGCACAGCAGAGCAGTATTGTTAAGGGGTTCCTGAAAAGATGTGATATAGGTAGAATAGGATTTGTAAAAACTTACTATTTATGTATATAAATAGCAGTGGTTCTTTTGTATGCTCTAATTTTTTTAATAATATTGTATAATGTTAGTTCAACCATTATTTTTTATACTTGTACACAAGTATACATATCAATGACGTACACGAATTTAGCATATTGAGACGTGAAAAGTGACGTGGTTTCGCCTCTATAATAATAATCTGTGGTTACACGTATTATTTGTTTACACCGGTAATCACCGGTAAATAATTCGTGAAGCATGATGACAGTTTCGTGACACCTTGTGATCGTTAGGTTTTAAACGTAAATATAGTTACTTGAACGTCTAATATTAAAATGTCGGCTGGACGCGGCGCTTTGATAGTTTTTGAAGGTTGCGACAGAGCAGGAAAGTCTACTCAGGTGAAACTGTTATTCGAGGCTTTGAATAAACGAAACATTCCTGTGGAAACACGTGCTTTCCCTGGTAAACACTTTATTCCTGATTTCTTTTTTGTGGTTACAAATGTTGATATTAATGAGTATCGATATTCTAGACATTTAATTTCCATACTGTATCCACTTGTAGATAGAAAAACTTCTATTGGAGCCATAATAGGCAAGTTTTTATCTAAAAAGCAAGATTTCTCCCCAGAGACAGTGCATTTATTATTCTCTGCGAATCGATGGGAATGCAAAGAAGAAATATTGAAAACTTTGCATAACGGTACTACACTTGTCATTGACAGGTAATCAAGATAGGTGCTTTGTTTTTTCAAACAAATAATTTGCCATTGTAATCATATATATTATCGTAGATATGCAAGTTCAGGTGCTGCTTACACAGCGGCTACAACTGGTAAAAGTTTAACCTGGTGCAAGGAACCTGATAAAGGATTACCTAGACCAGATATGGTTATTTTACTCAAAGTATCTCAAGAATCTCAGTGCATGCGTAGTAATTGGGGAGAGGAACGTTTTGAAAATATTAAAATTCAGCAATGCGTAGCTGAGAATTATGAGAAACTGAAAGACAAAACATGGTATACTATCGATGCGAATCAAGAAATCTCAACAATACATTCACAAATATTAAATAAAGTTTTAGATGTTATACAGGAAATTAAAGATCTGCCTGTAGGTGAATTATACAATTCTGATGCACTTGATAACTCCACACAATAAAAACTAATTGTAAAGAGTAACTCTATATTAATGTTAATAAGATTTAAAACTGTTGATCAGAGAAATATATATATACATAAAACAGAAAAGTGAGAGAAAATTACATCTAAAATTTCGTTTTATAAGCTTACTTTATTTGGTTCATGAATTTTATCTAATTAATATATACAGATCTGTTCATGGTAATACAAAACTTTATCTGATGTTTGATAAATCTACCCAATTTATTTTTGTACTTCTAAGGATTTCGTGTGCTGGAATCTTGTCCAATAAATAAGTCTAAAATTAAAAGGATACAATTACTATTAAGTTATTGTATAATAATTGACAAAAAGTGTAGGAAATTAAATTTATTTACCTGTTTCCTTACATATATTAAGAGCTTCTCAATATGTTCTGGATTGTTGCACTCTAAACAAAAGAACCTCCTCCAAAGTGCACCAGCTAATACTCTATCTTCTGACAAAATTCCTTCATCATAACCAATTACAGCAGCATTAAATTGAGCAGATAATGTAGACAATTGTTTCTTCTTTATTTTTGGATGTATTGTCTAATTACGAAAATTAATTAATTTCATTCAAGTATGAGGTAATAGGTAATTTATTTATCACTTACACCAAGCGCCTTGATTCTGTTATCAACATCTTTCCACAAAGCTTCAACCAGATAAATTCTGACAAGTTTACCGTCCTTTCCTTCAGCCATATAACGTACTAGTAACATCCATATGTGTAATTCTGTGACCAGAAACCAAGAGAAAAATGTGTCTGCCATATTAAAATCTAATAAATGAAACAAAACATTCAATTAAAAATATAAATTATAAACTTGATTAAATTAATCTATATTATGTCAACAAAATTTAAATAACAATTAATAATAACAACATACCGTTAAAAAATTTGGAGTATTGAAGTTCGTCAACTAAGTTTTCATAAATTAAATAGCCTACTGCCATTGATTGCTAAAATATAATTAAAAAAAAATACAATGAAAATTTGTTCTCATCTTATTAAATAAAAATATTATTAAAATATGTTAAAACATTAATTTCAGATATTATCTTTATACAATTCAAACCAATATTGGTACATAATTATACTTACATATTTTTCTTTATGTAAACCCACTTTAGATAGCAATCTGAAGAGTAGTCCATCTTGTCGTTGTACTTTAATTATACTTTCACTCAAAGCTTTTGAACGAGTGTCATCACAAAACTTATGAAATTGGGGTGTTATTGAAAAAGCAATGCCATTGGTAATAATACATTGACGTTCCATTATATACTTCATTGTTGAAGACAACAATGTCTTTTATAGTCAATAATATCATGTATATCATCCATCATAAAGAAAAACAAATGCGATTAGTTACATATTATCATAATAACTTAAGTAAAGTTATAAGAATTATTACTTTCTTTGAAATATTACAAAGGTATAATATAGATGAATTACCCTCATAATTAAATTGTATAAAATTATATAATAAAATAATTAGTCTTGTTACTACATTCGTAAATTCCAAGTTAATAAGTACATAATAATATAATATATAAAACAGACATGTGTGATTGTGTATGATGTAGGTTATATCAAAGCATTTTTATCATCGATAGAAACACACCTTTTTCAGAGTTAACATTCTTGTACAATGCATCATTTTGTTATATATTTTTTAGATTTTCTACTAGGAGCTTCAATTATCTGAATTTTTTGATCAAAAGAAAGAACATGTAATCTTCTTTTTACATTTGAAATATAGAGGTATTTCTTCTGCTAGTATTGACGCGCTAAAATTAAAAAGATTACAGTTACGTTGCTACTAAAACCTTTTTTGGTCGCTATACAAAACTAGAGTAACTTAAAATTATGAATTAATCCAAAACATATCAATTCTCCACAATAGAACACATTGAAAAGCCTCTAATATTCTTTGAATTTAGGATTTACTTCGATATATAAGAAAGGCAAGTAGAATTACATATTGCAAAGACAAATAACCTCTAGACAATCAGTAACATATTATAACAAAGGTGCAACAAATAATTGTTTAAAGCCTGTGATAGTATAAATTTTATTCTAAATAAAATATAAAAATATTTTTAGCAGAGTCCCATAAGGCCAGCCTTATGAGTTGTGGGAATTCAAACTTTTCTTCAAATATTTTTTTATTTCAAATGATTTTTACATCGTAACGAGTAGTTTTTATTTTATTTAAAGTATGGATATTATTTTCAGCATTATAATGCAATAATAAGGTACTGGTTTTAGTACTAGTGGCGCCATTGGTATTAAATAAAATATTCTTAACAATGAACAATCCAGTAAATTAATACATAAATTCATCATTTTATTTAAATTGGAGACTCATTTTATTTGAATTGGAGATTGGATTTAAATTGAAGACTTGAATAAAGGCGCGAATTGAACGATCATCCGTGTGAACCAATCAGAGGATAGGTAGGCTCAGCCAATTAGAGTCGGCTGTGGTACAGCCAATATGGCGTCGTACAGACCTGTCAAAAGTGTGTACGTCGAATACACACATCTTTATGTACTCGTATCGTTTAAACTATTACTTTCCTATACTTTTAACTTGCATTTTCGGATTGTCCAGGTCAGAAACTACAAAATTTGATAAGCTTTAACCAAAACGAAAGAGGGCCCTGAGACAAAGTTTAACCTGGTTTAACCCTGAAGGTTAGAATGGTAGTACAGTGTTCGAAAAATTCGATTTGGAGTAATAAATGATTAAAGGAGTATTAAGACGGAGAAACACACTTAAATTATATTAATTTATTGTATCATAATATTGTATACAACAATTGTTTCCATTTGTTACAAGAATGCTCTGTTCATTTTCTAGGTTTATTTTACGTAACAAACTTCACGACATATATTTTGCACGGTTTACAAAGTCGCGAGGTGTTCGACGATATGACGGGTACTCATACTTATCTGATTTCCAAAGAACTTTATCGCCCAGCTTTTCAATGAATCCCGGGAGGAATTTTTCAGATGTACTCTGTAAAATTCAGTACACATGAATGACATTCAATTCTTTGTACTACAATTGTTTCCTTCATTTATTCTTGCCAACTCTGATTTAATTTTTCTGATTTCTTTGACTTATCTTATGTATAAGGAAATTACCCAGTTAAATGCTTAAAGAATGGTTAAAAAATGGACTACTTACATTCTCAAGCGCTTCATCCATTGCTATCACTTCTTCAGGTGTCCAAATCAGCTCACTGGGAAAATCAGGTTCATTAAATTGAACCATATCTCGAAATATAGTATATCTATCCTGACCATACTGATATCTCAGTTTGATAATTTCATCCGGCTCGTTGAATACCCAATCTGACATTTTATTTTGTTCGTAATTAGCAAGATCTAACTCCTCGATATCTTCGACCACAGACGTAAGATCACCCTCTTTGGACCAATCATAAATTAATAAATGAGAGTGATCTGCCATCTTCTTTAAATACTTTTCTTTGTATACATTCTCCAAATCTGTGAGATATTTTGTTGTTAAAACTTTTGAATTAACTTCGTAGGGAATACCTTTTTGCTTAATTTTTTCCTGTAACATAACAGTTTGAACCATCGATATCAAACTAAACTGTTTTAACACAATGCAAAATGACAAACAGGGCAACTTACTTTGACAATTTCTGGGGCTACATCTAGATATATTATTAAATGCGGTCTCAAAAAGTAATTTTTTGCAATAGTAGATATTCTTGTATAATGTGCATATACATGTTCACTAATATATCCAAAATTTTTCATGACTTCTGCAAAAACAGAATCTGAGTAAACACTTCGATTAAGCACCACACCCTGACCAGTAGATAACAAATGCAACAAAGCATTTATGTATTGCTCAGTTCTCATGTGGAGATACACCATTTGAAACCGTGCTACTCTTTTGTCATTAGGATTTTCTAAATATCTTGGTACATCGTAGCTTTTACAAAGGAATGGTAATTTTGGATCTAATTCACGGAGGTCCACCCCATAATGATTGATATAAAATTCATCATGAGTCGGAGCTGGCATGTATAGCAAACCAAATTCATCTGCTAGTTTTTCACAGAATTTAGCCTTCCCTATAGCGGGAGGACCATCTACAACAATCAGTTTAGTGTTTCCATCGTATCTATATAATACTGGATCAAAAATAACATGGTAGAGTCCAAATTTCTTTTTCCAATAAGGAAATGGGGCAGGTTTCTGCGCATCAGACTTTTTATACGCTAACCTCGTCAAAGAGGCAACTTGCTTAACATTGTGACTTCTCGAAGTCTGTAAAACAAAAAATAGAATAATTAATGATAATTAGTTATAACTTTTAATAACTTTGCTGACTTCGATGATCCTAATATTTTCTAAATAAACAAAAAGCCACGTCTTAATAAAATATTTTATCGAAGCGACCATTTTTAAAATTTACTTTCATTTTATTGTTACTCTTTTCTTAATTTTGCGGTACTGCTAATGGTACTAACCTTACATAATCGATTCGAACACCCAACAGGACTGACTTTTGAAATGGTGGCAAGGAATTTCAATGCCATTGTACTGGAATGAATATCACTTAAATGAAATGTATGCAAGTATGATTAACGAACCATAACAATATAATCAACATTTTTCATATTGTTATTCTCTTACCGTACACACTATAAAACTGTGACAGTGTGATGATCACACTGTGATAAGATCTGCCATATGAAAGTCACTAAAATACGACAAATCTACTGCACCAATGACGTGCCATCTAATCGAGCTCAGAGGAACTTTAAAGCACTTTGAAGTCCTCTGAAGGTAACAAACACGATGAAAAACATTGAAATTGTCATCAACTCCCCATGATTGAATAAAAATATTATGCAATTACGAATAACAATGGTAATTGCTCTACATGTAGAAACAATGCTCAAATATTGGCAATTTGATTACATCCGCCGTAATAGTGGAAAACTTTGTGGGAGATTTAAGAAATGCAAACGCTATCACTCCTTAAAATTAAATTCACCCATATTATGGAATTTTTGTAATATTCCAATAGTGTTCAGAACGAATCCAAGATTTTGTTTCGACATTGATTTTATCATGTTCCTGTGTCAAATCTATTAGCTTTCATCGGTTTCCATTATGTTTGGACTATGTCTGTCTAAAACTGTTGCTAAGCGACTCAACCATACACAATGCACCTCATGTAACCCAGAGAAATAAAGAGAAATGTATTACGTCCAACATGAAGTAATATAATTGAAGAATAATAATAATAATCCTTTGTAGTTAGCTTACGTAAAGTGCCATTACAGAGCAACAACATGTTGCTTAAATATTTGGGCAATGTCATGTCCCCGCAGGTAACATTAGCTATAGTTATTATTAAACAATGTTAAGTATGATTGTAGCATGAAAACTTTTTAAAAGACTAAAATTTGTACAAGGAATGTTTTTCTAATGAAACAGGATTATGAGAATAGAGTAGTGGGTATAGTTTGGTCTCCAAATAGCTTGAAGCTAGCTGTAGCTTTATCCGATCGTTTCATTTACCTCTTTGATGACAATTGCATGAAGCGAGACAGGTTTTCCACAAAACCTGTTGATTCTAAGGTATGTATAATAGAGCCCAAAATATTCTTTAAAATATAAATGCTATTTAAACTATCATTTTTAATCCTACTTAATTTTCTTAGTTTGGAAAGAAGAGTTACTTAATCAAGGGCATAGCCTTTTCCCCTGACTCGACTAAAATAGCAGTGGGTCAAACTGATTGTATCATCTATGTCTACAAAATTGGAGAACAATGGTACAGAGTAGTTAGTGCAAAACATGAAAGTATAAAAGTTTCCATAGCTGTAAGAGTATGATTATTTTAAATTTAATATTATACCAATAGGGGAGATAAGAAAGTAATCTGCAATAAGTTTCGCCAGAGTTCATCAGTGACTTGCCTAATATGGCTCAGTGAGGGACCCATTATTGTTGGTTTGGTGGATGGGAAGGTTCGTGCAGCATTGTCAAAGTCTCAGAAAGCTCAGACTCTCTACACAGCTGACTCGATAACTATTGCATTGGCTTCAAAGTAACTTTCAATCGTCATGTTTACAGCTAGTGATTAGAGAATACGAAACACTAAAACCTACCTTCCTTAAATTCTAGTGTACGCGGCACTGGGTTTCTATCAAGTCATGCCGATGGCAGTATCATAAAGTATCATTTAACAGATGATGGGACTCATGAACCATCAGGACGTATTTGCACTCATAGTGTACCTGCATACGCATTAGCCTGGCCTCAGTCGCATATCATGGCAGCAGGATGTGACAGACGAGTGTCTTTTTACGATTCCCATGGAAAGCTTGTGAAGACTTTCGATTATAGCCGCGAGGATGAAAAGGAGTTCGGGGTTGCCTGCTGCAGTCCTAGTGGACAAAGCGTTGCCGTCGGATCCTGGAATAAAATAAGAATACTGGATTGGAGTCCTCGACGATCCATCTGGGAAGAAGCGAACACTAAGTCTTTACCAAACTTTTACACTGTTACTGCAATATCTTGGCGTCGTGACGGCTCCAGACTCCTTATGGGTAGTCTCTGTGGCGCAGTGGAACAATTCGAAACCGTGTTAAAGAGAACAGTGATTCGAAGCAGTCATGAAGTGGCATACGTGGGTCCTAGTCAGGTGGTTATTCGACCACTGCAAGAAGGCAACAGGCCAGTAATCATCAGATCCCAGGCAGGATACGAGATAGAGGACGTGAAGGTCCTTGGACGCAC